GGAGGAAGGAAGGACAAAAGGGTGGAAGAGAAGGAGAAAGACAGCAGGAAGAAGGAAGGAAGGATAACATGGTGAGGAAGTGGAGGGCCTGAGAAAATAGCCCAAGAGCTGCATCCAGCCCCCTGGGCCTGGGTTTGTCCTTACCTGCTGTAAGTTTTGAGCTTTCAGAATCAAATTGGTAGACAATAGATATATAAACCCCACTTGCCTAGTTTCCAACAGACTCCTCAACCTCTGAGGATGCCTGCCATAGATGTGGGCGAAACATCAGGAGAGAATGCTTCTGGAACATGGCCATACAGCTCTGAAAACTCACAGCAACCCAGTGATTCTGGCCATGAAAGCCTTTGACAACACAATATTTGCTTAAATTATACCTTTTTGCAATAGGAATTCTAGAAGTCTGAAATTGTCCAGAATTATATGTGCTGTTTTATTTTATTTGTCAGTATTAAAAATTCACTCTGTATGGCCAAATGGATCACAAGGCCTTTGCATTTTGTAAAAATGTGAAAATGCAAACGCTGTTTCATCTCTTTGGTGGAAGATTTCAGGCGTAGTGCAATGTTTTCTGTCAAACTGGTTCTTCAAATGTTTAATCAGCTTTCGAACTCCATAATTCTTCAAAGCTTCTGGATTTGCTTCTCTCCTTTTCCCTTTTGTGTGTATTAAAGAGCATATATATGCATACACACATGTACACAAACATGCACAAAAGAAGGATGTAAGATTAGAGGCAAGTTATCATTTGGCTTTTAAAGAGAAGGAAGCACCTTGACATGTAATGGCAGTATCTTCTTTGACGTGCTCAAGGCAAAAATAGTGTGTTATAGCTCTTGATTTGTCAATAAAGTCTTAAACATTCATCTACACCAGACATGGGCAAACTTGGTCCTTCCAGGTGTTTTGGACTCCAACTCCCACCATTCCTAACAGCCTCGGGCCCTTTCCTGCTTGATCTACACTGTAGAATTAATGCAGTTTGACTCCACTTTAGCTCAGTGCTTTGGACTCTTGGGAGCTGTAGTTTGGAGAAGTACCAGTATTCTTGGGTAAGAAGGCTAAAGACTTTGTAAAACTACTACTCCCTTTTTTCATGTCAGGAGCTACTTGAGAAACTGCAAGTCACTTCTAGTGTGAGAGAACTGGCTGTCTGCAAGGACGTTGCCCAGGGGATATCTGGATGTTTACCATCCTCTGAGAGGCTTCTCTCATGTCCCTGCATGAGAAGCTGGAGCTGACAGAGGGTGCTCACCTTGCTCCCCGGATTCAAACCACTGACCTTTTTGTCAACAGTCTTTTGTCAACAACCCATTGCTCAACTGGGGGCTCCACTACTCCCATTGAGGTGTAGCAATTAAAGAGATATCAAACTGTATTAATTCTAGTGTAGATGCACCCCGAGAAGCTACTTTCTAAAGCATGTTCTCTTGTGGCACACTTAAAAAATACTTTCCTGACCATTGTGGGTTTGGTAGCACACTTGGTCTCATGACAGCAGTTTCCGGGAACTTGTTCTGAATGGATGGGGAACACATTTAAATTGAAATACCTACTAAAGAAGCCAGTTTCCCTGTATAGTAAAATGTATACATTGGTGGGAAAATGTCAAATGAAGATGTTTTTAAGAAGGGTCGTTTTTTAAAGATTTTTTTTTTTTAGTTTTCTTCTGCGTTTTGTGTTTCATACAAACAGTAGAGGATTTTCAGTCTAAATGTTTATACTTTCCAACCACATGATGAATTGTCCATTGGGGCGAGAAAAGAGAGGGGAGTATTGGTAGTGGAAGGAAGGTTCAGCCTCGCTATTTTACCTTCTACTTATGAGCTCCCATTTCAGATGAAAGGGGTTGATTTTGGCAGGTAGGAGGAACCCCAATTGTAAATAAGTCCCTGTTTTATAATAAAGACCAAAAGGCTCCTCTGCTCGAGAGATTCTTGCTTCTTTTGAAAGAATATGCTGTAGAAATGTGAGATTAATGGCAAGTTTGGGGGGGGGGGTGTGTGTGCCAGAATGCTGAAGCCAGTGGGACTATTGCTAGATGGGGATTTTGGGAACTGTAGTCTAGGAAAAAATAAATTTTCTAAAATCTAGTTGTTGCGACTGTTGACATTATAACTTGAGGAGTCCTTTGTTATGGAAGAGAACATTAAATCAGATCAGAAATGGAAAAGTGAGACCAATGGAACTAAATAATTTCAAGACCAGGCATAGGCAAAGTTTGTCCTTCCAGGTGTTTTGGACTTCAACTCCCACAATTCCTAACAGCCGATAGGCTGTTAGGAATTGTGAGAGTTGAAGTCCAAAACACCTGGAAGGACAAACTTTGCACATGCCTGCTCAATACTGTTTCTGTGGCCCCAAGCCCCAATTTTTGGACAAAATCCTTCTCCCGTAAGCCTTCAGGAACAGTGATACATTTAAAACGGATCATAACTTAAATAAAGCAGTCATTCACATTAAAATATACATTTTTTTTTCAAAATTAGAATAGGAATAGTTTTGGTTATTCATTTTGAAGCATTTGGCCACCACTTGGTTTCCAGAGATGGAAGAGTGGCCTTCAGAATAGCTGAAGTCATCTACTCCTGGATTAGAGGGATCCAGCCAAAGTAAATCATTATATGTCGGTCCCATTTTATTTCTGATTCTGAGTGTTTCTTTTTATAAGTGAGACTGAGGTTCATTGTTTTATAAAATCTCTAGAAGAGAAGGCGGAGAAGGAGACATGATGGCCATGTATAAATATGTGAGGGGAAGTCATAGGGAGGAGGAGGCAAGCTTGTTTTCTGTGTGTCAAAGGCTTTCATGGCTGGAATCACTGGGTTGCTGTGAGTTTTCCGGGTTGTGTGGCCATGCTCCAGAAGCATTCTCTCCTGATGTTTCGTCTACATCTATGGCAGGCCTCCTCAGAGTTTGTAAGGTCTGATTTCTGCTGCTCTGGAGAGTAGGATGCAGTACAATGGCTTCAAACTACAGAAAAGGAGATTCCACCTGAACATTAGAAAGAACCTCCTGACTGTGAGAGCTGTTCAGTAGTGGAACTCTCTGCCCTGGAGTGTGGTGGAGGCTCCTTCCTTGGAGGCTTTTAAACAGATGCTGGATGGCCATCTGTCAGGGTGCTTTGAATGTGATTTTCCTGCTTCTTGGAAGGGGGTTGGACTGGATGGCCCACAAGTTCTCTTCCAACTCTGATTCTATGATTCTAGGTATTGACTACGCTCTTAATTATCCTCCTCACTTGTAAACAATTACACCTTTTCATTTATAAAATTTATGCATGATAGAATAATGTTACATTTTTGTTTATTTGTTTGCATATTGCTGCATAGCTGTAACACACATTTTTTTTCAACTTTGGGAAAACTAGATTGTTTTTAAAGGTAGCATAATGGGAAACATCTGCTATGTAAAACAGCAGACTTGCAGAAATGGCTAATGAGGAAGAATTAGTACACAGTCATTTAAACAATCAGAAATAAGAAACCTGAACCATGTAATTTATATATTTATTTTGGTAAAATATTTATATCTTCTATGTTGGGAATCACCGGGTCACAGCATGACTTAAATCCAGTTCTTGATCCCAAAGAGCATTGACCAACTGGATCAATGGGAACAGTATGTCTATAGTTGCAAAAGTTCGATTCATTTGTTGGCTTAACTCTAGTTGGAACTGAGAGTTGGATGTAGTACAATAAAATATTATGGAACAGCATCAAATAATTCAGCAGAATGGGAAATATTATTACTTCCAGCATTGGGCGCTTGGCATAACTTCCATGATGTGTTGGTGATTACATGCTGTGCCTCTGTATCTTCTCTACACAGTGATCTTGATATATATTATTCTCATGTTGTGGATTTCCTGCACTATATAAAGTAGCCTTCCTCAGTCTAGTTTTGGATTGGAGCTCCCAATAATCCTGAGTATTGGTCATTTTTGACATTCAAAATGTCTGGAGAGCACAAGGTTGGAGAGGTCTACCATATAAGAGGCTTTCCCTTGACTTTACTTACTTATCCTATCCATTTGTCAAGTCGTTCTCTCATATTAGATGTTCTGACGGTAGAACATCTCCAGTGATGAGATAGATTTGTGGTGGCACTCTTATCATCAGTTGGAAGCATTTTGTGAACATGACTACATCATAACAGTGGTTGGCTACCATTATTTGATCATTGTTCATACCAAGAATGTACTAGTATAGGAAACAGGTCTTCAGCTCTTATCAAAACTAGACTGCTTCCCCATTCTCTCTGCTTGTATCACCTGAAGCTATACAAGTCGAGGAATTGCATTGCTCAGCTTGACATACATTTGTATGTCAAGTTATTTCTGAAGTATGGTGACCCTAAGGTGAAACTATCACAGGGAAGATTTGTTTAGAAAGGGTTACCATTGCCGTCTGCTGAGGCTGTGAGTGACTTGCCCAAGGCGCACCCATTGATTGTGTTTCCAGGCTCAGCAGGGATTCGGACCCTGTTCTCCAGTGTTGTAGGCTAGTGCTGAAACAACTACACTGGATTCACCTTAATGTTGTTCAGTGATGCAGTGCATTTCAAGATAGCAAATGTGATTGGTATTGCAATCTTTTGGTGGTACAGATTGAGCCTCCCTTATCCAGAAACCTGAAATCTGAAATATTCCATAATCTGAAATTATCTACATGGGTGATCGAGATAGTGATGACTCAGGATACACAAACATGGCTTTGTTTACAAAATAATGTAAAACATTGCATAAAAATAGCCAACAGGCTATGCCTTTAAGGAGTATATGGAACATAAATTAATTTTTGTTCATATTGGATCCTATCCAAGATCTCATTATGTACATGTATGGAAATTTAAGTATTACAAAATCTGGGAGAAAAATCAAAACATTTTTTATCCTAAGCTTTTTGGATACGGGATTCTTGACCTGTAACTTATATAAAACCAGTTGGCTGTGATGGGACTCCCAGAGCTAACATGTCCAATCCTTTCTCCTTTTGTAGGTGAAATTAGATGCTACTGTGATGCCGCGCATTGTGTCGCCACAGGCTACATGTGCAAATCCGAGCTCAATGCTTGCTTCTCCAGACTGCTTGACCCACAGAACAGCCATTCTCCACTTACTCATGGCTGCTTGGACTCTCTTGCGAGCACCTCAGACCTCTGTCAAGCCAACCTGGCACAAAACCACTCTGGAATGACAATCCCCAAGTTGGAGTGTTGTCACGAAGACATGTGCAATTACAAAGGGTTATATGATGTCCTCTCTCCTTCCAGAGGAGAGCTTTCAGGTTAGTAGAATGCCTATGAAACATGAATTCCTATGTGCCTTCAAGTCTCCCATGATGATCCTATGGCAGGCATGGGCAAACTTTCTAACTTGGGGGCCACATGGTGAGCCAGAGTGGGGTGGGTGGGCTAGGAGGGGGTGTTTATTCCCAGGTCCCCTCCCTGTCATTTCCTCTGCTTCCTCTTCTCTTTTGGAGGCAGAAAGTGAAGGAAAGACAAGAAACGTTTAGATCCCAAAAGGGTTGGCCTTGGTCAGGATGAGATGGTGGACAGGAGAGAAAAAGTGATCCATTAGACCCCATATTGCCTACTCCTGATATATAATCCTAGAATCCTAGAGAAGAGACCCCCAAGGACCATCCAGTCCAACCCCCTGCCATGCAAGAAGGCACAATCAAAGCACTCTTGATAAAAAGCTCAGCGGAAAAGCCTCCAGAGAAGGAGACTCCACCACACTCCGAGGCAGCCTGTGCCACTCTCCAACAGCTCTTACTCTCAAGATGTTCTTCATAATTTTTTCAGTCAAATCTCTTTCCCAGGCATTTGAACCCATTGCTCCCTTGCGCCCTGGTCTCTAGAGCAACAGAAAGTCAGTTCCCCCCTCCGTCCTCAACAATGGGACGTCCTTTCAAAACTTGAAACAGGGTTCTCAAGTTCCCTCTCTACTTTCTCTTTTCCCAGCTAAACATCCTCCAGGAGGAAAGGAGGAATGAAAAAGAAAAAGGAAGGATGTATTGCTGGAAGGATGGAAGGATGGATGGATGGAAGGATGGAAGGAAGGAAGGATGGGAAAGGAGGGAGGGAAGGAAGAGAGAGATGGAAGAAGGAAGAGAAGACAAAAGGGAAGAAAAGAAAGAAGGAGAAAGGGAGAGAGGGAAGGAGAGAGGAAGGAAGGACTAAAGGGTGCAAGGGAAGGAAGAAGAAGGGATAAAGAGGGAGGGAAGGAATGAAGGGAAGGAGGAAGGAAAGAGTAAAGGTAGGAAGGATATAACACCGGGATTGTGGCACAGCTGGCTGAGTGTCAGCTGCATTAAGATCACTCTGACCAAAAGGTCATGAGTTCGAAGCCAGCCTGGGTTGGAGTGGGTTTCCAACCAATTGTGTAGCCTGTTGTTGACCTTTGCAACCCGAAAGACAGTTGCATCTGTCGAGTAGGAAAATTAGGTACCACCTTAAAGTGTGGGTAGGCTAAATTAACTAATTTATGAGGCCATAAAAAAGGAAAAGGCCTGAGGCTGTTAGGAATGATGGGTGTTGAAGTCCAAAACACCTCGAGGCCCCAAGTTTGCCCATCCCTATTCCACTCCAGCAAAAAGCATGCGGGGAAGTACTTCATCAGTGTCGCAGATGGACGATGAAAGCGACAGCTCCCCTGGCAGCCAGAAAAAGTTAAATAGCCTCTGTCTATGTCTGTATATGTTATATGTCAAAATTGGCATTGAATGTTTGCCATATATGTGTACACTGTAATCCGCCCTGCGTCCCCTGCGGGGTGAGAAGGGCAGAATATAAATTCTGTAAATAAATAAAATAAATGATGGTGAGAGAGAGGAGGGTCTGAGAAAAGTGCCCAAGGGGTCGCATCCAACCCCCAGGCCTGGGTTTGGCCATACTTGTCCTATGGGCTTTATGGGATTTTCCTAGACAAGGAATATTCAGATGTTAAGACTTATTGTCAACAGCTAAGACCTTGATTGACTGTCTCTTAATGATTTTGGTCTTCATAGTAATTAAGCACATGGGGTGGGGAGGCATATGGCCAGACAGTCTTCTGCCAAGTAGCTTTTGCATCCGCATTAGCATGGGACAAAAGCTTGTTCCTTCCCTTCTTAATACATCTGGTGCCTTGCCAGGGGAAACTTGTTTAGGGAGAGGCCCCAGCTCCAAAATAAAACATGGCCCAATTTGGACCGGGGAAAAATAAAACTATTAGAATGTGTGAATTAAATTTATTGAAGCCCCTTAAATTTTAATGGATGGGTTCTTGGAGGGGACGTGGCATTTTTAATTTAAAACTGTGGCTGTTTGTTAAACTTACGCTGCCCAAAATGCAGTAGTTAAACCGAAGAGAAGAAAGTTAAAAGACATTCATGAGTTTACTTGGCACAAAATCTACTTAAAGGAGAGTTTGGAGAATTTAGGGGGGGGGGGGTTCTGACTAAAATTCCCAGAATGCCACAGCTCCCATAGCCGTTGGCCAAACCTGGCTGGTGGAGGACTTTTGAGAGTCCCAAAGGTTACTTTTCTAAGCTCTGTTTCAAAATATGTAGAATATTCAGCTGACTGAACAGACTTGGTGGGGAGACACTACCGATACCTTGCATAAAATGACTCCCTGTCGCTGGGTGTATCTGCTTAATTGAAAAGGGCGGGACCATTACTGACATGTATTAGCGTGGCTAAATGTAAAATGGGACTGGAGTCCCATACTTTTCATAATTGCGCAAAAGCGGGAAATTTCAGCAGGAATAGTCTGACATGGAAATCTATACACCTCTAATGTTTCCTCTTTAACACCAGTGTTGAAGATGCAAGAACCCAGATATCCTAGAATAGGCATGGGCAAACTTGGGGCCTCGAGGTGTTTTGGACTTCAACTCATCATTCCTAACAGCTTCAGGCCCTTTCCTTTTCCCCCTCAGCCGCTTAAGCGGCTGAGGGGGAAAAGGAAGGGGCCTGAGGCTGTTAGGAATGATGGGAGTTGAAGTCCAAAACACCTTGAGTCCCCAAGTTGCCCGTCCCTGCCCGAGAATGTAATCTCTTCTGTTATTGTTATCACCATTGTGAGCAATAATAATAATATACAGAAAAAACTCTTGTCTATTTGAGGCAGGTGTTAATATTATTTACTTATTTATTTTATTTGCAGCATTTATATTCCGCCCTTCTCACCCCGCAGGGGACTCGGGGCGGATTGCAATGTACACATATATGGCAAACATTGAATGCCAATTAGACATACAACATATATAGACATACACAGAGGCTATTTAACTTTTTCTGGCCGCCAGGGGAGCTGTCGCTTTCATTGTCCATCTGCGACACTGATGAAGTACTTCCGCATTCCCTGCATGCTTTGCTGGAGTGCTTTTTGCTGGAGTCTTTTTATGGCCTCATAAATTAGTTAATTAGCCTCCCCACACATAGGTGGTACCTAATTTTCCTACTTGACAGATGCAACTGTCTTTTGGGTTGCAAAGGTTGACAACAAGCTACACAATTGGCCAGACACTCACTCCAACCCTTGCTGGCTTCGAACTCATGAACTTCTGGTCAGAGTGATCTTAATGCAGCTGACACTCAGCCAGCTGCGCCACAATCCTGGTGGCGCAGGTTAATGTTGCAATTGATCACTTTGATTAGCATTGAATAGCCTTGTAGCTTCAAAAACAACAACAAAACAGCTCCTGATCACTCCCCTCTTTTTTCCTTGCAGGACAAGGCAGCAGATACCAGCACGATACCAGCAGGAACCTCATCACAAAGGTCCAGGAGCTGACCTCCTCGAAAGAACTCTGGTTCAGGGCTGCCGTGATTGCGGTCCCCATTGCCGGCGGGCTGATCTTGGTGCTGCTCATCATGCTGGCGCTGCGCATGCTCAGGAGCGAGAACAAAAGACTGCAGGACCAGAGGCAGCAAATGCTCTCCCGGCTGCACTACAGCTTCCACGGGCACCATTCTAAAAAGGGACAGGTGGCCAAGCTGGACTTGGAATGCATGGTGCCAGTGACGGGTCACGAAAACTGCTGCCTGACCTGCGACAAAATGCGACAGCCAGACCTCAGCAATGACAAAATACTCTCACTAGTCCACTGGGGAATGTATGGTGGGCACGGAAAACTGGAGTTCGTGTGATCACTTCTTTTTTTCTGTGTGTTTTTCCTTTTTAAATATATATATATTTTAAAAAAACATTGTTCGTAAAATGACTAGGAAATCTTTTCAAAGGCCTTTGGGTTCTGCTGGACAGGAGCACTTTATTATCCGGAGGGGAGGGGGACCTACAGTCATTAAGTCATTTTTTAAAAAGAAAACTACAGGACTGCTGCAGACCGAACCTTGGAGATGTCTTCTGAAGGATTCCAAAAGTTACTTTATTTGCACAGAGTACATACACTCAAATGTCTTGTTTGCTTTGAAATTATGAAAGCAAAAAACGAGAAGTTATACACACTGTTACCAGGGTCATCTGAACTGTAGGGAGGAGGGCGTTGAGTTATACTATTAAAATTGTATGCAAGTTCTGATGTAAAGATTTTTTTTTAAATACATATTATATATATATTTGTCTGACTTCTGTGGTTTTGTGTAACAAAGCACTGCGGTGTGGTAGAAGCACGGTTGGCTTAAGGTTTCCTCTAGTTTTCCTGTAATATGTGTCCAAAAATTCAACCATAAATACATACATGTGCAAACACACACATATGTACAAGAACTGGCAGTTTTCCCTTGCTAGCTTTTTTCTTATACCATTGCAGATTATTTTCTTTGGTCATAAATTGGTTTTATTGCAGTACAGGCTTTTTGGTTTCAATCATGGGGTTAAGCTTTTATGTTGTGCTAAACACCCATGCACTACATAAAATCTAATCTAGTTTTGTACTTTGAGGGACCACTTTACTTCTTAAAGAATAGTCTAGAGCAGTGGTTCTCAACCTTCCTAATGCCGTGACCCCTTAATACAGGTCCTCATGTTGTGGTGACCTACAACCATAACGTTATTTGTGTTGCTACTTCATAACTGTAAATTTGCTACTGTTAAGAATTATAATGTAAATATCTGACATGCAGGATGTATTTTCCTTCACTGGACCAAATTTGTCACAAATACCTGATACATCCAAATTTGAATACTGGTGGGGTTGGTTGGAGGGGGGGGGATTGATTTTGTCATTTGGGAGTTGTAGTTGCTGGAATTTATAGTTCACCTACAATCAAAGAGCATTCTGAACTCCACCAATGATAGAATTGAACCAACTTGGCACACAGGACTCCCATGACCAACAAAAAACATGGGAAGGGTTTGGTGGGCATTCACTTTGAGTTTTGGAGTTCTAGTTTACCTAGTTCTTTAACTGTTTTGTGGACAGAGAATCAAGTGTTTGTTTGAAGTGCCTCTCCTCCAGAAGGTCTTGGGGGCCTTATTCCTACTCCTTCAGTGAAGAAGCCAAGGTTCATAGATGGTTTGGATTTCCTGACTGTATGTTGCAGTGGTTAAAGTTGGACTTGGGAAACTTTGGTTTCAATGCCCACTATTGTCATAAAACTCATCTTATTGCCTTGATTCACTATCCTTGAGCTTTGCTTATCTTGGGGTGTTGGGAGGCTGAAATGTATAATCAAATATGCCAACTTGATCATCTTGGAGGAAATATGAATTACAATAAGACCCCTGGTGCCTACAGCTTCATTTACCCATGTCTGACAAAATGTCTCCTCTGAAGGAATTTTCTAGGTGATCCAAATGTATACTTTCACCAGAAGTTGATCACAGTTGAGCTGGATAACATAGCGATGCTTAAAAAGATACCTTCTCTAGGCATTTCCTAGGTCCTGTGGTGCAACTCTTTGGGATGCTTCCTTGAGAAGTCATTCATTCAATACAATTTGTTATTACCTGTGACTTTGTGTATCCACACAGAAGCCTGGAACATAGTCCCTGCAGTTACAGGGGATACTTGCATAAACAACAATCCTTAGAAGTAGATGAAAATGAGTTGCCTTTTCCAAACATGTATATGGAGCCCCATGTAATTGTACTGCAATGTGTAGAAAGTGCTTATGCGTGAATAAGGCAAGGCACCAACTTTTCAATTATCCTTCCTATTTGCTATGCTCCTCCAAGTCTGTTGCATATTGTTTCTAGGTGTGTCTCATTCTTGAGGAGCAAGAGCAGGCTGCTGTGGGTTGAAACAAGGAGCAAAAGAAGTGTCTCGTAATGCAAAATCACAATTGGATACAATCCTCTAATGTGAAATATACATAGGTAAAGGGTTTCACTTGACATCAAGTCTAGTCATGTCCAACTCTGGGGGGTAGTGCTTATCTCCATTTCTAAGTTGAAGAGCTGGTGTTATCAGTAGATGCCTCCAAGGTAATGTGGCCAGCATGACTGCATGGAGCGCCATTACTTTTCCGCAGAAGCGGTACATATTGATCTACTCACATGTGCATGTTTTCGAACTGCTAGGTTGGCAGAAGCTGGGACTAACAGTGGGAGCTCACCCCACTCCCGAATTCAAACCACTGACCTTTAGGTCAGCAAGTTCAGCAACTCAGTGGTTTAACCCACTGGGGACTCCAAAATATACATGGATTTTCTTTATTATTTTTGCTTATAAATGCAGTTGGGAGTTTTAAAAATTGCATTAAAGTTCATTGGAATTCCTTCCCAGATAGCTGTTGATAGAAGTTTGGTCTTGGAACGCATCTCCACTGTAGAATTACTCCTTTGTGTTTTCTCCTTCTCTTGAGGAGGACATTCAAAACTTGTTCTTCATAGTCCTAACACAATATGGAAAGAGTTTCTCCTTTAGATTGTTGTGTGCCTTCAAGTTATTTATAAATTATGGCTACCCTTATAGAATTTCCTTGTCAAGATTTTCTTTTGGGTGAGGGGGCAGTTGCCTTTGCCATCTTCTGATGTTAAGAAAGTGTAACTTTCCCAAAGTCATCCATTGGCTTTCTACAGTCTGAGCAGGGATTTGGGCTCCGATATCCTAGACCAATGATTTCCACAAAAACTAAAATATGGTCTGTGGCCTCGCAGTTACGACACTGTTTCAATGAGAGTGACTGGTCTCGCGCAACCCTCTTATAGTGCCGAGGCTTATTAAATATGGTTTTCTGTGGGCGAGCAGATGGTGACTATTGGATGGTATACGTTCCATATCAGAAACTATAGCTAATGTGGTCTATCCAATGCAGTTTTCTGAATCACACCCCAAATAAACAAACCGAATCTAAAGCTGACCAAAAACCGATTCATAGCCCTTTTGGTACTAATGTTGGAGAGTGGTCCCTAGTCAAAAAAAGGTTGGAACCACTATCCTAAAGTCCTTGTTCAATACTCAAAGAACTATACCACACTGGCTTTCCTCCAGGTATTGGATAAACCCAAGTTTAGAATTATGCACTCCATTTTGTACTAAAGATTGGTGTTCCCTAGTCCATGCACATTTGTGGTCCATGAATTATGCTTCTACAGAGATCAAAGAGACCCATAGAGAGCACTATGGTACAATCTCATTAATGGACTACATTGAGCCTGTTCTTCATCAAGCACAGTATTGTTTACTTTGACTGGATGCAGACTTATGGGTTTTCAGGCAGAATTCTTTTTCCTCATCACCTGCTATGTGATCTCTTTGATGGAAGATGCTGGTAGACTGAAACTGTATCCTCCATTCAAAACATATGAGCTCTTACTCCATTACTGCTTTCTAACATGCCAGTCCTGCATAGATGTATATAAGAGCTGGTCCTTTGTTGTTGATATGTACCTTTGCCATGACTCTTGATTTATAGCAACCCTATCATTGTTATTGTTAAACTGCCATCAACTCAGCTTCGACTTATAGTAACCCTATGAATGAGAGATCGCCCAGTCATCTTATCCTCAACAGCTCTGCTCAGGTCGTGCAGAAGAAGAGCTTGGTTTCCTTGATTGAGTTTATACATCTGGCATGCAGCTTTTCACTTCTTTTTCTATCGCTTTCTACCTTACCAAGTCATTAGTGCGCTTTCAGACGGCCAATTCTCTCACACCAGAAGCAAATTGCAGTTTCTCAAGCCTCCCACAGGATGGTAAAACATCAATCATCCGTGCGTCCCCTGGCCAACATCCAGAAGCAACTTGCAGTTTCTCAAGTTGCTTCTGACATGAAAAAGTAGTCAATGTGTTTTTGTGGCACTATCTGTTGTTTCATTTTAGATCAGCATTTCTCAACCTGGGGGTCATGAGTGGGGTGTCAGCGGGATCGCCAAAGACCATAAGAAAACACAGTATTTTCTGTTGGTCATGGGGGTTCTGTGTGCCAAGTTTGCCCCAATTCCATCATTGGTGGGTTCATAATGCTCTTTGATTGTAGGTGAACTATAAATCCCAGCAATCACAACTCTCAAATTTCAAGGTCTATTTTCCCCAAACACCACCAGTATTCACATTTGGGCATATTGAGTATTTGTGCCAAGTTTGGTCCAGATCCATCATTGTTTGAGTCCACAGTGTTCTCTGGTTGTAGGTGAACTACAACTCCAAAACTCAAGGTCAATGCCCATCAAACTCTTCCAGTATTTTCTGTTGGTCATGGGAATTTTGTGTGCCAAGTTTGGTTGAATTCCATTGCTGGTGGAGTTCAGGGTGTTCTTTGTTTGTAGGTTAACTATAATTCCCAGCAACTACAACTCCCAAATGACAAAATGAATCCCCCACCTCCAACCCCACCAGTATTCAAATTTGGGTGTATTAGGTATTTGTGCCAAACTTGGTCCAGTGAATGAAGATACATCCTGCATATCAGATATTTACATTACAATTCATAACAGTAGCAAAATTACAGTTATGAAGTACCAACAAAAATTTTTTTTTTTGGTTGGGGGTCACCACAACATGAGAATCTGTATTAAGGGGTCATGGCATTAGGAACGTTGAGAAACACTGTGTTAAATTGTCTCATCACAAGATTTTGATGGTAAAAGATATTCAAGGCAAGAGGCATTGCTGATGCTGTGATGGGATTGCATCCTCACAGGGGCATGCAGTCCCATCACCATAGAAAGGTAGTTCCATGGAGGATAAGGGCCGGCAAGATTTATTGAGAAATGTGCAATTTACTTCTTCTAAGACTGAGAAAGTGAGGCTTGCCCAAGATCACCCAGAAGTTTTCTATGGCAAAGCAGGGAGACCTATTCCAAAATTCAAACCACAACAATACACTTGTGCTTCAGAGTTGGTCCTAGTTGCCTTGGTATCCAAAGTACCTGCTTTACTTCATGAGATGTACACTTTTTTGTCAACCAGCAAAAGTTGCCAGCGTTGCCTCTTAGATGTTTCTCTGGTTCTCTTAGGTTAAACCCTTGTGCCGACAGGGCTGGTCAACCGAAAGGTTGGTGGTTCAAATCTGGGGAGCGGGGTAAGCTCCTGTCTGTTGAGCTCTAGCTTCTCATGCAGGGACATAAGAGAAGCCTCCCACAGGATGGTAAAATATCAATCATCCAGGCATCCTCTGGGCAACGTCCTTGCAGACGGGCAATTCTCCAAACCAGAAGCGACTTGCAGTTTC